GAAAAAATGCAAATGAATACCTAGAGGGAAAAAGGATTGCAAATACAGATGTAGCTCTGGGAGCACAGCTCTGAGGCAGAGCTAGAGACAAAATGGATGACACAGGTCCCAGTGCATAGTGGGTCACAGTGCAAATGCCCCTGGACATAGAATAGTGACAGGAATGAGGTAATTGTCATAAATACCACGTGACCTTGCTGCAGCTCTGCTGTCTGCATGAGTTCACATCAAGAAGTCCAGTCTGCAGTGGAGCCAGCAGAATCAGAGAAGTGCAAAGGGGAGTTTGGAAATTGACCACATTTCTAGACTTCTCTAGGAAGAGAAGGCTGGGTCTATAGGAAATGGTCAGGTGGAGATCAGAGAAACTGCAACAGCAGTGGTTATCTGCCTGGAAAAAGCAACAGAAGCACGTGGTCCTGGTGGTGGCCGTGCTATCTGCTTGGGCCCAGTGTTTCTTTGCGTCCCGTCCTTTCACTCTCTGTTGCATTACCATTCTGCTGTTCTGGAAGCCTGGGAATCAGAACTCATGCTCAAAAAAGTTTGATTTCAATCTTGATAGGGAAAATGACACACCTGTATTAATGCAACATTACTACCAAAAATGTATAACCAGAGTCAAATCATGAGAAACATACAAACCCATTACTTGGGACATTCTGCACAATATGAGCCTGTATTCTTCAAAAAATATTCACGACTGAAAGACAATGAAAAGCTGAGGAACCGTCTCAGTTTAAAGAAGTCAAAGGAGATATGACAACTAAATGCAATGTGTGATCCTGAATTGGAAAAACAAAAATTACTGTAAAGAACAATAGTGGGACAATTGGCAAAATTTGGATATAGACAGTATGTTGGATAAGAACATTGTGTCAATGTTAAACATCCTGAATTTCATAATGGCACTGTAGTCCTATAATATCCTTGTTTTTAGGATATATAAGCTGAGGTGTTTAGGGCTTAAAGGTTGTGATGTCGGTATTGTACTCTCAATCCAAAAGAATGTGAATAATAGTGTGTGTGTGCATGCATGTGTGTGTACTTTCTGCCTTAAAAAATTACAATAGGCTGAAAACAAGCTAATGCTTCCTAGATGATTCCAGAGCATGTGGTGATTTGGTATCTCTAGCATCGTGGCCATTTTGATGATACAATTGTGATTACAGAAACTATAAGAAAAGGGCCACGTGTATGTTGAGTCTTAGACATTCTCTAAAATGTGTTTGGTTTCTAAATTCTTTTGTCAGCTGCATTTCTTGTCGCTTGCTTCTTTTTCCTAGAAATCAAAGGCAGAGGATCTATGGCCATTTACACCTAACTAGAGATGATTCAATATTATGGCACAGACTCACGGTGGCCTTCCTGATACTCCTTGGTAGCGTCATCCACTCATTCTGTTTTTCACTGGGTTGAAGCCAAGCTACTTCATTTACCTTCTTTCTATTTTCAAGGAACTCACTCAGGCCACCGGCTTAGTAGCGCTCCTCCTGAAGTCTCAATCTTCTGCATCACATTAGTGCAGTAAAGTGCTTAGGAAAGCACATAAGAGGCTCAGGCACAGAATAATTTAGGTGTCATTGGCACTCATATATTCAGGAGAAGCAGGGAATTGACAGCATTGAGCCTTTTGCTGTAGGGCCAGAACAGAATGAGAAAATTGAGGAAGTCCCTTTTCTCCAACCGTATGTGACATCGGTTATGCCAAAGGAGACCAGAACATACAAATGTCTCCTCCAAGCTAATCAGCACCTTTGCAACTATGGGGGCAGCAGCTGCACATGCATATTCTCTCTGGGTCGTCCATATTCATGGGCATTGAGGGTAGGTCTGGCAACACGTGGTTTTTTTCCCTGCCAGTCAGCTAAATCTAAGTTTTAAATGCAAAGTATGCATTTCAAGGACATTGTGTGGATTTGTGGCAGTGCCTGGCGGACTTTGGGTCTATAAAATGAAGAATAAATTACAAGGAAATATAAATAAAGCATTTTCATCAGTGACAGTTATAATGTTGTCACAATGTCGAGGAAAACTGGGGACTTTCTGTATATGAGCATGTTCTGCAGCTACAAAAAAGTGCATCGCTAAGCAGAAATTAGAGTGAAAAAAAATGAGGTTACAGTGGTGACATCTCAAAAGCCTTCTGCTTCAGAGCAAAGCAGAATGTGTGCAGTTCTGTTTCCCACTAAGCAGAGCTGTTTTCATCTCAGCATGAGAAAAGCCGCTGATCTGGAGTTTAACAGAACAGATCTTTTCCAGGCCAGGGAAGTCTCAGTGGGGCGTCTAGTGAGCCCCTGTGTGTCAGGGAAAGGCAGGGGCTGGAAGGTTGGATGAACTCACCTGGAGCCTGAAATGATCTGAGAGCTGGCCCAAGGTCTGGGATGCAGGTGTTCTTGTGCCTCTCAGGCACTGTCTTACTCGGTTTCCTGCTGCTATCACAGAATGCCACAGGCTGGGTAATTTGTATAGAAAAGTCATTTATTTACCATAGGTGGGAGCTGGGAAGCCCAAGAATATGGCTCTGGTATCTGGTGAGGGTCTTCTTGCTGTGTGATTCCATGGAATAAGGTATAAGCAAGCAAGTGGACAGAGCAAATGGAGGCCTAACTCACCCTTTTATCAGGAGTCCAGTCCCGTGATAAATAACACACTCTGCAATAATGGCACTAATTCATTCATGAGGGTGGATTCTTCATGATCCTATCACTTCCCAAAAGCCTCATCTCTTACTACTACAATGGCAATTAAGTTTTCAGCACATGAACTTTGGAGGACATATTCAAACCATAGCAAGAACTTTCCCTGGAGATCATTTATGTCTTCCCAAGGAGACTCTGCAGGCAAAATATACTCCATCAGACTTTCATACCTGCTCCCTTAGACCTTCCCATCTGCCCCCACTAATCTTTATCCTAAAGCATTAGCCAGATATATAATGACCCCACAGTTCTATAGGCTTCTAAACAACCACTTCCCATTTTTACCTACTTATTTCAACATATAACTTGTGTTAGGACATGATTGGCAGGCTTCAGAATCCATGACTACCCTGGGGCACAGGATGAGGAAGTTCTCTCTGCTTATGTTTAGGGTTGTGCCCAAAAGCCTACGCTCTGGTATCAGCAGCCTACAAATCCAGAGATCTAAAATGAATTCATACTTCAAGATTGCAAGGCCTCAGGTCTATGCCACCCTGCTAATTTTTAAGCATTGTGTTAAGAAAAAAAGTTAACCTATACAAAAATAGTAGCAAAGAACCTCAATATTCGACAATCATCAGCGTTTTGCCTACTCACTTCATCTCTACAATCCTCTCCTCCTTTTTTGCCAAAGTATTTTAAAGCCAATTCCAAACATCATGCTGTTTTATTCCTAAATATTTAAATATGCATCTCAAAAGAACAAGAACATTTATTTTACATAATCACGAGTCCACTATCATTAACATAATCAAGACTTCCTTAATATCACTGAATTCTTTCCTCATTCAAAGTTCCCTGACAGTCTATAAAATGTCTTTTTGAACTACTTTATTGGGATCAGAATCTAAATGAGGGCTACTCTATTATTTGATGGTATGTCTCTTAAGTAGATTTTACATTTGTGTCTTTTTTTTTTAAATTATACTTTAAGTTCTCGGGTACATGTGCAGAACGTGTGGGTTTGTACATAGGTATAATACATGTGCCATGGAGGTTTGCTGCACTCACCAATCTGTCATCTACTTTAGGTATTTCTCCTAATGCTATCCCTTCCCTAGCCCTCCACCCCTCAGTTGGCCCAGTGTGTGATGTTCCTCTCCCTGTGTCCATGTGTTCTCATTGTTCAACTCCCACTTATGAGTGAGAACGTGTGGTGTTTGGTTTTCTGTTCCTGTGTTAGTTTGCTGAGAATAATGGTTTCCAGCTTCATCCACATCCCTGCAAAGGACATGAACTCATCTTTTTTTATGGCTGCATAGTATTCCACGGTGTATATGTGCCACATTTTCTTTATCCAGTCTATCATTGATGGATTGGTTCCAAGTCTTGGCTCTGTGTCTTTTAACAAGCACTATCTCCTCTCTCATTCTCTCTCTCTCTCTCATTGTCTCTCTTTCTCTGTCACTCTCTCTCACACAAACACACACACACATACACACACTGATAAAACAAAGTCAGTTGTTCTATAGAATGTCCCACATTCTGCAATTGGTGGATTGCTACCTTATGGTGTTATTTAACTTAAATCCACCGTATCACTTTGAGATGTGAAGTTAAGCCTGAAATCTTGATGAGTTTCAAGTTTAATTTTTTTTTTTTGGCAAGAATACTTCATAGACAATGCATACCTCACATTGTACCACATCAGAAAGTATGCAATATTTGATTATCTTATTTTGGTGATGTTTATCTACGGTTGATTTGTTTGTTTCAAACTGAAATTAAACATTTCCATTCAACCAAAATCAAAACTGTAAAACAAAGTGCATTCAGAGAAGTCTCACATCTCTCCCTGCTCCTCTATCTGGTCTCTTCCCTCTTCTTAAAGACAATCAGTTTTTGAGTTTTTGCATGCTTTGTTTTAACAAATGTAGGAAAATTCACACATACCTTTCTTACACAAAAGTCATACTCTGTACAGTATCCTACATACTGTGTACTATATACACTATGTATATTGTTCTGCACTTTGCTTTTTTCACCTTGAAATAGACCCTGGATATCACTCCATATCAATATATGAAGATTTTTTTCAGCTTCAGAGAATTTCATTTTGTGAATGTACTATGTGTTGTTTAAGTAGTCCTATATTGATGAATAGTCTGGTTATTGTCAATCTTGTTATTACGAAAAGGCACTACAGTTAATAATGTGCATATATCATCTTGTTTTTGGCAAGTGTATATTTGGTAAAGATCACTAGAAGTATGATTGCTGCTTGGAAGGTAAAACATATAATTTTGCTAGATAGTCAATTAAATTATTAAGTCTAATGTTTATTTACCTTGTTTCTCCCACCAGAAAGAAGCCAACAAAACATATAACTGTGAAAATTTAGGTCTCAGTGAAATCCCTGATGCTCTACCAAACACGACAGAATTTCTGGAATTTGGCTTTAATTTTTTACCTACACTTCATAATAGAACCTTCAAGAGACTCATGAATCTTACCTTTTTGGATTTAACTAGGTATGTATCTGAGTTATTTAATATAAGATGTTTTACTTAAATAAAAATACAGTATGTGTTCAATTTATTTGCAGGACCCTTCTTTTGGGGCCCAGGGACAATCTGCTTATACTCATGTTTAAACCTTCCCATGAAATACTTCTATTTCTGCGGGTGAAATGTAATTTAAATAAACATCACCAGTGGAGAATAAAGTGAATTGCTCTCAAACTAGTTGCATCAGTAGTACTGTTGAAGCAGTTCTAAGGAATACTGATGATAAAAATGAAAATAATCTTGTACTAAATCAGATGCTAAACTACGCTAAATTTTGGCATAGTGTATTTTTGGGTAATGACATTTAAGAAAACTTTCGAGGAGAAAAGCACACTGTCTACTATTCCCCCCTACAAATTGGAAAATGAGTTCCATTATTTTGTTACAGTGGCAGAATTGAGATTCCACATGCTGAGCCAGAGTTTGAGAACAAGTAGGCAGAAGTATCACAAGAAAATAAGGGAAGAAGCTGGGCACGGTGGCTCATGCCTGTAATCCCAGCACTTTGGGAGTCCAAGGTGGGTAGATCATGAGGTCAGGAGTTCGAGACCAGCTTGGCCAGCATGGTGAAACTCTGACTCTACCAGAAATACAAAAAGTTAGCTGGGCATGGTGGTACATGCCTATAATCCCAGCTACTCAGGAGGCTGGGGCAGGAGAATTGCTTTAACCCAGGAGGCAGAGGTTGCAGTGAGCCAAGATCGTGCCACTGCACTGCAGCCTAGGCAATAGAGCGAGACTCTGTCTCAAAAAAAAAGATAAAGAAAATAAGAAAATGAAAGGGCTGGACAGTGTGTGCATGTGTGTGTGTGTGTGTGTGTGTGTGTGTGTGTGTGTAAGGGGGTCAGGCTCTGCATGTACATGCAGTCTGCACCCCTCACAGCAGTTCTGCTTCTTCTATTTTGTCCTTCACCTTCAGCTTCTGTGGACAGAATGTCCAAATCCATAGTACCGCTTCATCTTTACAGCCATCACTGTGAGGTTCCGTGGTGCATATTATCATCCAACTTATGGTTAGATGAGGAGGCCATCTGTGTATGTGTGTGTGTGCATGTGTATGTGTACTCCAGTATTTTTAGGTGGAATACCAGGATGGTTTTCTCAGATGAATATACAGAGGTTGAGAAAAGATGTAACTTGCCCAGGACAGCACAGATTTTTGTATTTATATATTTTATATCCTATATTCATATATTATCTATTATGCATTCTATATGGTATATTTTGTATTACTTAAAACAGTAAATAATAGTTTGATTTTTGCCCACAATCAAATGACCCATGGTTCTTTAGAATACAGGCACAAATCTCTGAGGTTCAACCTAATGGGTGAGGCACCTGGAAAAAAATCTAAATCAGAGTGTTCAGAAGTGAGGCTATTCATTAATTCCTTCAATAGGCCATCTGTTGATACTGAAGAAAGTTTTTATGTTTGATTTTGAATGATGTAAAAGATGGCCTTGTTAATGTGTGTCACTGTGAAGGTTTTTCTTTTTTCAAATTAATTATTGTTAAATACGATTATCTTTTCAAGGTGCCAGATTAACTGGATACATGAAGACACTTTTCAAAGCCATCATCAATTGAGCACACTTGTGTTAACTGGAAATCCTTTGATATTCATGGCAGAAACGTCACTTAATGGCCCCAAGTCACTGAAGCATCTTTTCTTAATCCAAACGGGAATATCCAATCTCGAGTTTATTCCAGTGCACAATCTGGAAAACTTGGAAAGCTTGTATCTTGGAAGCAACCATATTTCCTCCATTAAGCTCCCCAAAGACTTCCCAGCACGGAATCTGAAAGTACTGGATTTTCAGAATAATGCTATACAGTACCTCTCTAGAGAAGACATGCGGTCTCTGGAGCAGGCCACCAACTTAAGTCTGAACTTCAATGGCAATGATGTTAAAGGTATTGAGCTTGGAGCTTTTAATTCAACAGTCTTCCAAAGTTTGAACTTTGGAGGAACTTCAGATTTGTCTGTTATATTCAATGGTCTGCAGAACTCTACTACTCAGTCCCTCTGGCTGGGAGTGTTTGATGACACTGATGACAAAGATATTAGTTCAGCCATGCTCAAAGGACTCTGTGAAATGTCTGTTGAGAGCCTCAACCTGCAGAAACACCATTTCTCTGACTTCTCATCCACCACATTTCAGTGCTTCACCCAAATCCAGGAACTGGATCTGACAGCAACTCACTTGGCAGGGTTACCCTCTGGGATTAAGGGTCTAAACTTGCTCAAGAAATTAGTTCTCAGTGTAAACCATTTTGACCAATTGTGTCAAATCAATGCTGCCAATTTCCCCTCCCTTATACACCTCCACATCAGAGGCAACGTGAGGAAACTTAACCTCGGTGTTGGCTGTTTGGAGAAACTAGGAAACCTTCAGACACTTGATTTAAGCCATAATGACATAGAGGCTTCTGACTGCTGCAGTCTACAACTCAGAAACCTGTCCCACTTGCAAACCTTGAACCTGAGCTACAATGAGCCTCTTGGTCTCCAGAGTCAGGCATTCAAGGAATGTCCTCAGCTGGAACTCCTGGATTTGGCATTTACCCGCTTACACATTAATGGTCCACAAAGTCCCTTCCAAAACCTTCATTTCCTGCAGGTTCTGAATCTCACCTACTGCTTCCTTGATACCAGCAATCAGCATCTTCTAGCAGGCCTACCAGCTCTCCGGCATCTCAGCTTAAAAGGGAATCACTTTCAAGATGGGACTATCGTGAAGACCAACCTGCTTCAGAGTGTGGGCAGCTTGGAGATTCTGATTTTATCCTCCTGTGATCTCCTCTCCATAGACCGGCAAGCATTCTACAGCCTGGAAAATATAAGCCATGTAGACTTAAGCCACAACAGCCTGACATGCGACAGCATTGATTCTCTTGGCCATCTTAAGGGAATCTACCTCAATCTGGCTGCCAACAGCATTAACGTCATCTCATCCCATCTCCTCCCCATCTTGTCCCAGCAGAGCACCATTAACTTGAGTCACAATCCCCTGGACTGCACTTGCTCAAATATTCATTTCTTAACGTGGTACAAAGAAAACCTGCACAAACTTGAAGGCTCAGAGGAGACCATGTGCGCAAACCCGCCGCCTCTAAGGGGAGTTAAGCTATCTGACGTCAAGCTGTCCTGTGGGATTACAGTCGTGGGCGTTTTCTTTCTCACAGTATTTTTATTATTGTTCACTATTCTGCTCTTTTTTGCAGTTAAATGCCTTCTCAGGTGGAAATACCAACACATTTAGTGCTGAAGGTTTTCAGAGAAAGCAAATAAACGTGCTTAGCAAAATTGCTGTAAGTGAAGGAACTGTCATCTGCTGGTGACCAGATCAGACTTTTCCGGTTGGTTCCTGGAGCTGCGTAGGGACTCACTGTGCCTTTCTGAACTTCTTGTTCCTGTGAGTCCCAGAGCTAACAAACCTTTAGGCAAGGACACCGACTCAGGCGAGAGGTCCAGACGCTGCTGTGAGAGGCACAGAGCCCTTTCCACATGTGGGAGGTGGGAGGAAGCAGAGGGAGGGGCTGGGCAAGAACTGCCAGCTGGGAGTCACCCACGGGGAGGCTGTCACCCTTCTACTCACCGACATCCCTCCCAGCACCCCACACCCTGCCCCTGAAAGGAGATCATCAGCCCCCACAATTTGGCAGAGTGGAAGCCAGCCCTGCTACCCCCCCACCCCACCCCCGCCTATAGCATTGTGCTTGGGTCTGAGTTCTCAGTAATGTAGCCATTTGGGAAACTTAGCTGGAGACAAAGTCTTCATGCTTATTTTAAATAAAAAAAGAAAAACACAATAAATTTAAAAGAAAAGACAGAAATGAAACTTGGTATCAAATAGACTCCATTCATCTTCTTAATCCTTAGGTCTGTAGGTCTCTATAATGCCCCTAGGGTGTGAATGGCTATATAAAAAAAGAACCCATCCCAAGGTTTAGAATTTCTGCCACAGTTGCCTCACTCAGTTCAGAAAATAGGCAGAGATAAGCTCTCTCTGCCTATCTGGTGTTCTGGCTCTTACCTTACAGATCCTAACTTGCAGGTGGGCTGTGATCCAAAACGCGCTTCTCATTCAGCCGTTCAGTTCTTAGAAGATGCTTTCCCAGCAGAACTGTGAGATAAATGGTGGTTTGGTTCTCAGGCTGGCCCTTAAAAGCCTGTTTGCTTCAGAGAACATTTGAAATAGCACATTTACATGAAAACTAGGAAGAAGACATCCCTGCATGCTAGCTGTTGGGAACACAGTAAAGCTGGCTTAGTGAGAAGTGGTTTCTGTTGAGGCTGGGGATGTCAGCAAAGGTCACACCAGCAATGTACAGGGACCTGGACCATTGAATGAAGAGAGGCAAAGAGCAATGTCATGACTTAGGCCTAAAGGGCCATATCGCACAGGCTTCTATCCTCTGAAGTCTTCACTGCCAGACAAGCTGTGCCGGAGTTCCCGGACTCAAGGGGTGCATTGATAAGGCCTGGATTCTGATCCATACCCAATTTTATGGTAGCAATAGAGATGGTAACTTATAGTTATGAAATTCTGATAGACTATCAAAGTAAAAATTGATCAAACCAACCAGAATATATTTGCCCTTAGGTTGAGGGCATACTAGTGGGACATCAGAACAGAGTGGAAACTCGGAGGTCATCCTCTTTGTCTCTTCACCCCCAGGAAAAGCAAGACAGGCAGGGAACAGGAGTGGGTGAAGCTTTTCCCTGCTCAGGGATTTTCGGCCTTGGAATTTGCTTTTTCCTTTGCCTGGAAGATGCTGCTACTGGCCTCCAAATGGCTCGTGCCCTCATCTCCTTCAGATTTCAGTGCTCATATTTTCTTCTCTCAGAGAGCGCTTCTCTGACCTAGGTAATCCAAAGCAACCTCTATGCATCACCCAATTCACTCTCATAGCACTGGGTTTTATCATTTTTATAATGCTTACCAGTGTTTGGAATTACCTTCTTCATTTGTTTTAATTAATCTGTCTTGTCTCTCCCAAACACAAGCTCCATGAGAGGGTCTTTGCCCAAGGATATCCTAGAACATGCCTGGAACATAGTAAGGACTCAAAATATTTTTAGTATGTCTTAATCCCTGAGCCTTGATGGCTTCTAGTTCTGCCACCATGCCCATCCTCCTGACTCTTGCTCCTGACATCTCCACTGTTTCCTGGGCCTCCCACATGTTTTTCACTGGAATATTTTAGGAAAGTCTGTACAAAGCAGATTCCCAGGCCTCACCCTCAGATACTGAGATTCTGTTGGACTGAGGTTGGCTCTGGATCCCCAGCCAAATGATTCCGTGTAAAACCCCTCCCTAGTCTTAGTTATAAACGTATTCCCCCTGCTTTTCCCATCTTAGAGTGTGGAAGGTCCACACTCTAAGAATCCAGTCTTAGCACCAACCCATTGAGTTCCTGCATATTCCGTCAGATGTAAGCTCTTTCTTGCCTTAGGGATTTAAACTGCAGATGGAATATATTAATTACTGATTTATCGACCCATAGACGTAGTGCCCTCCATAATATTTAATATGTAACTTGGAAAAACAAGACAATGAAAGAGGCCCAAGCCTTAGCAAAGCATAATGGTCCATCCTGCTTTCCCTTCTCAGGCCCACTCCCTTCTGTGTGATGCAGCTTGCTGCTCCAGAACTGATCTAAGGCTTTGTGACAGCTCCTCTGTTTTAACCAACAGTAAATTCACCCCACAAAGTCAGAAAGGGAGCTTTTTGATGGCTGCTGTCAATTTTATTGCCTTATCCTGTTTACTAGGATAGAATCCGTAACATGGTGTGTTTATTGGTTTTATGTATTGCATGTTGTTGCTGCTCTGACAAGCTACTCCTATAAAAATGTGTTATTATTGCATGATGTAGCTCAGTGAGCTGACCCTGCATTTCAACGGGTACTGAAACAAATATCATTGAAGTTCATAAAAGCTGACTGCCTCCATCACAGAGGACTCTCTGCATGAGCTGCAACTCCTACAATCTGGGAGAGAATTACATCTTACCCTGTGCCAGCAGCCACTAACCGAGAACAGCACAGCCCTGAACCCAGGCATTATCTACAAAATTCCAAGACAGAAAACCGTCATTGCATTCTTATTTGTCCAACTATCAGTGTCATTTGCAATTTTGATACCTACAAAATAATGAAACAAGCGGCTCTAGAATGTTTTCCTATATTAGTATAGTGTGCAAGATGGGTGGCTGACATTGTTTGGCCCTGAATGCTGAATAGAAACTTGAATTATAGCAAGAGGGGGTGTGGTTGTTTCTTAGCAAGTCATGACTGGGGGTGTCCCGGGTGTTGGGCTGGAGTTGATGGCCTGACACATTAAGAGTGTTAAGGTCTAACATGGTAGGAGTTAGCCTGAAGGCTGTGGAGGAATGGATGAGCCCAGTGGGCTATTGCAGTTTAACAACAGAATAATCCGGGGCTTCTTTACAAAACAGATTCCAGTGCTTCACCCCTAGATATTGGGATTCTGTTAGACTGGGATTGGCCCTGGACTCTCAGCTATGTAAAATCTTTCCCTTATCTTAATGTTATCAAGCAATAGCAGAAGCATATGTTAGGCCCAATGAGTCAAATGAGCTGGAGAATTGCTTTATGTCCCATAAGAGGAAATTTCCTAACAAAATGGGGGAAAAGCGCTAAGGAACCCTCAAATTCAAGGGTGAAATGTCTTGGTCAAGCAGCTCATTAGTCCCTTCTGCCGACAGCGCCAGACTCCAAGGCCCTGCTCCTAAAGCCACCCTGCTCTCCCACCCACCCCTACCCACTCTACCTTATCCTAGCTATTGGCAATTTGAAATCGTTTTTTGAATACCGTGGAACTTGATAAAGGTAAGAATTAATTTACATATTCTATTTCAAAGCTGTTATTGCTCACGAATGATTAAGCAGTGAAGTTCATTGAACACCATCCTCCAATCCTCCCCATCTTTGGTTAATGCTCTCTGAGCTCTTAGCTGGATCCTGCAAAGGTAAGCAGAGGACAAGTGGCCACCGGAGCATCCATTCCATCTCCTCCTCCACCCTTCATGTTGATTAATGGGTTTTCTAAATAAATTGGGTCTCCCTTTTTCTCTTTCTCTCTTCCTTAGAGAGAACCTAAGTGTGCAACAATAGATAAATGATTAAGTCTATTAGATGACCTGAATACATGTGCAGATATTCCATGCTCTTAGGTGTAACAACTTAACACTAAAAACATGTTGGTTCTATTAGCAATCAGAGAAATACAAGTTAAAATGAGATAAAGGTTTATATTTGTTGGACTGGCAAAAAGAGAAAGCTGAGTGATAGTGTAGTTGTGGCTGTGTGGTTTCAGGAACTACATGCCCTGATTATGGGGGTGTAGATTGGTACAGCCATTCTAGGACCATCTGGCAACAATGAATCAAATCAAGTATATTACCCACAAGCTGCTCTGAGGTTGTAGCCCAAGAAAGCATCATATGTCCACAAAGATATTCATTGCAGCATTATTTGTGGAGGGGAAAGTTCACAGCAACGTAAGTGTCCTGCACTAGGAAGTAGGCAGATAAAATGGGAAAGAAGCTCAAGACAGGGCGCTATGCAGTAATTAGAAGCAGTGGATTAGCTGCAGCCATAGCAATGTAGCTGAATCGTAAACATATAGAACTTAATGGGGGAAAAAAACAAAATAATATATTAACATGGTCATCTACATAACTTAAAAAAGCATGCATAAAAACAATGATACATATATTTTGCAGGAACAAAACCAAAAAGATAAACCATCGACATAATTGTTTATGGGGTGGTGGTGGGGAATGGAAGGGACTATTGAGATAATTAAATGAATCTTAGGATAGGCCAAGGTTGATGTGCCAAGAACAGAAGAGCTGGCCTCCATGATCTGCACCTGAGGCCCTCTAACACACACATGTGCACACATGCAGAAAGAAAGTGGTATGGCCCAAACGTATAATGAAATACCATGCAGCCATTACACATATTACAGAAGCATGTTAAGCCCCTTATAAACATCAAAATATATTTGTGTTAATATTCAAGTGAAACTGGCCCAAGAGTTACATAGACAGTTGCTTTTTTGATAAGCATAGATATGGACCCTTCTGCTGTTCAAGCTTGAAACATGTTTATTTGAGGAGTTCCTTTCTTAGGAAAGGACCTCAGACCTCTCACAAAAAGTATGGAAGAACTGAAACCAGATTGCCATACCAGATGCCACACCCCTCATTCACTATGATTGCTTCCTTGCCCCTCCCAAATTCCTGTTTTCTTACATATTGTTACATTTTTTATATCACTATTTCCCATGCTTCCCAATAAGAATCACCTGTCCCTCACATTTTTCCTTACATATTGTTACACTTTATACATTGTTAATGTATGCTATATAAACCCCTGGTTTAGTTGGTCAGGAGATGGATTTGAGACTGAGCTCCCAATCTCTTCTGCTGCAGCACCCAATTAAAGCCTTCTTCCTTGGTGATACCTGATGTCTCAGGGATTGGCTTTCTGTGCAGTAAGCAGCAGGACCTAGAACAAACTCCAGGTGTTTTGGTGACACAGGCGGAAGAGCAGAAGAGTGGGCTGAAGAGCATGCCCACTGTTATTTCATTATTCAGCAAAACAAAACAAAACAAAATACCAGTAAGTTAAAGAAACAGAGTGGCTGGTAGGATTTCAGTGATTCAAGTACTTTCTTCTTATCTATATATTTGCAACATGTCTTCAATGACTAGTTATAGACAATAAGGAGAAAAATTAAATTTTTTTTAAGGAAAACTTTTGCTTTTAAAAAGATATAAAACAAAGAGATTATAGACTGTGAGAATGTACAGGTACTGAAAAGGAGACAGTGTTTTTCTAATGCTTTGTGTTTTCTCTTTATTTATTTTTTGAGATAGAGTCTTGCTCTATCTCCCAGGCTTGTGTGCAGTGGTGTAATTTCTGCTTACCGCAACCTCTGCCTCCCGGGTTCAAGGGATTCTCCTGTTTCAGTCTTGCGAGTAGCTGGGATTACAGGCATGTGCCACCACACCCGTCTAATTTTGTATTTTTAGTAGAGATGGGGTTTCTCCACGTTGGTCAGGCTGGTCTTGAACTCCCGACCTCAGGTGAGCCACTGGCCTCAGCCTCCCAAAGTGCTGGGATTACAGGCTTGAGCCACTATGCCCAGCCTAGGCTTTGTGTTTGCAAATGCAAATGGTAAAACCCAAGCTTTGTGTGTTGCTCTTTCCTCTTTCTGAGGGAATAGAGGGAGCCATGGCTATTCTAAGGATCCCCATTTGAATGGGACAGTAGGACATGTATTACAGGAAATGGCCATAGAATTGCTTCCAGCCCCAACAGGAGTAGGTATGTCTCCAACTCGGGAAAATTACTTCAGTACAGCATTGTTTAACACAGCATACATATTCCAAAGGGACAGAACTTTCAGGCAAATGATTTTTATTTAGACAGGTTAAGGCTGGAGGATATGGTGATGCCAGCCTGACACATGCAGACTTTGTAGCTGCAACATGCTTGCTTCAGGCCTTGCAAACATCTTTTCATTCTTCCTTTCCCAGATGCTGACAGCCGTCTCCCAGCAGTGCTTAATGAAATGGCAGATGACTATGTGTTAGAGGCCTTCAACTTTACAAGAGCAATAGACATTTCATCAAGCTGTGCGGGGTGATATGTTGTAGCCATATGCAACAGATCTTTTTCCCACATCTGGACATACTGAACTGGCATGTAACAGAATGTACAGAGAACTTCAGTCTTCAGTCCCATTCCCTTTTTCAAGTGCTTGCCTGCACACAAGTATTGGAATTCACAGCCCCACCATCAGCCAGCGATGTTGTAAGAGATAGTCATCTTGTCTTTTGAAATGCTGGGTCTCAGAAATCAGTGAGATGTTGCTGAGTGTTTTCCTGTAAGGAATAGTGCTAATGACTCCAGTTCAGGATCTGAGGTGTCTTAACACCCAGATAACTTGAACATGGGTTAAGCTGATTGGCTTTCAGCATACAAAACGTAATTGAACCAAGGTTCAGCAAAGCCGTAGTCATTTCCAGATTTTCTAGATATATCAGACATGTAGGGGGTAGAGAAAGAGCAGAATAACACAAAATGATTGCTTTGAGAAATAAAAACATCCTGGCAGGAGGAAAATTAAATTTAGAGAACTGCCCTACCATAGCTTTTCTTAATGCATGGCCTAGAATGAAGGAGAATGAAGGAAGCAAATTTCTGTAGTTACTATAGCGACACTTTTGCATGTTACAATTGCATTGTGAACCGAAAATGCTAGATGAGAAATTATCTACCGATTGATAAAGAAACCCTATTACAGAGAACTATTAGCTTCCTTCTCTTATGGTTTCCCACCAATCACCAAATTCATAATGTAGTGCCATACGAGTTTTCTACATGGAAAGAGGACATAAAATAGCTTAGATCATTCACAGGGGGGCCTGAATCTGAATTCAATTACATAGTACCTGGTAATACTTAGAAAGGTCAAGAGCATCAGAGCCAGAAAAATTCAGATTCTAATCCAAGCTCTCTTTCCAGGGTGTATGTTAAGCAAACGATGTAGCTTGGCTGGGCCTGATTTCTCATCCATAAAATGGGAATATCACCACCTGGTTTGAGAATTGTGTTGATAAGAGGGCTGATAAAAAGCATCTAAAAAGCATCTTGCTCAGAGCTAAGTGTGTGTGTGTGTGTGTGTGTGTGTGTGTTGTGAGCACCACTATGCCCAGCTAAAGGACTTAATCTTGAACAATATTTGTGTAAGTTAAAAAAAAAGGCAAACTTCCACTCAGCAAAAAGTAATCTGCAAAAACCCATCCTTTCCATAATACCAGAGTAATAATTGGTAATATTTTTTGGAGGTGGAATGTATATGAGTATGTTAGAAAAAAGTTTACTAGTCATTATCTTTCATGCTAAATTTTTATTTCAATGTTATGCAACTGCATAAGTATAAATATTTTGTTCAATATACAACAATTATGACATCCATAAGGAATTTCTTAGAGAAAATAAGACTGCAAACACTTTATTGCACAGATCCTAACAAACTTTTAAGCTGGTAAATCTACAGCTGGGAGTACTACCAAGGAGCACATCCTACAATCACACAGAGACTGACCAAATAGAACACAATGA